TTTAGAAATTTGGGACCACGAGCACGAGCGTCCTCTCTCGACCACGGCTGAACGGAGACTTTCAGCCGTATTTAAATTTATGCGAATCCTTGAATGTTCTATAAAACTGATTCAACTGAACCAAGCGGTATTATAGATTCGCTGCCCAATTCAAGTTTATAAAACTTGACATGCAAATTCAACTGTAATTTAATGTTATCGAATTTTGACTGTTTAATTACTTGAATAACTTCAGATGTTATATTCTTTAGAAACAACTTAGGATCGATCGTTCTTATATCATGATAAATATGTTCTGTGCATGTGTCATTAACAGCCTTCCTAATATCACCTCGCATGCATTCAAATTTATTTTTTAAATGAACATTTGAATCTTCATGTACTCCAATATCATCCACTTCTAAATTACAAAGATTGCAATAAAAGAAAGAACTGGCTATTATACTATCGTTCAAACGTTTTCTGTGAGCGTTTGTTTGTTCATGCCTTTTCAAGTTTTGAAACTCGCGATTGCATATTACGCATTTTGTCTTTCTATTGAGGTATGCATTGGATATGATCGAATTGTTAATTGCTTTACGATGCTTTTGAGTTTCTATGTTTCTTTAGATTTTTAACCAATGTGTTACAAACTTTACAGTGATTCGTGCTGACAATATTTACTTCCATTTTACTTAGAAAATTTATCCAAAGGGTTTTCGTATTCAATGTGTGTTTTTTAACATGACTTACATCAGATGCTTTTAAGGTGTGTTTTTTCCCATGACATACATTAGATGATTCGTCAGTTCTCATTTTATATAGAAAAAATTAAAATCACATTGAAAAAATTCTTTTATTCTAATACATTTATTTATTTACTCTTAATACATTAACATTGAATTAATAAGAATTATTTCACTGGTTCAACGAGGTAATGCATGCTCCGACTTTGCAGAAGTTAAGGGGAGCATCTGTTCAAAATCGAAGATTTTGGCTTTTCCGGTTTTTATGCTCATATTAAAGCTGACATTGACGAATCCAACGGTATCAAAATCATCAGACAAGGGAGGTAATTTTCAACTTTTTGATTTACGGAAAATTTACGAAAAATGCTCACCCCACACACAAAACTTAGAATTCCGGAAAAAGCTATGACCAATCGATAGATATGGTCTTTACGCATAGAATGATACAAGTCCCGATGTTGTAGCTTGAAATTTCTAGGAGGAGATTGATTTCTACAGTACCCCCTTTTTTGACCGTTTTCTAAGAATTTTGCGTTTTCTTCCATTTTTTTTCTTTCATGCTATGCGCGCATCGCACGCATGGTAAATCACCGACAGCATTGCTTTCGATTGCGCGCCTCGTTAACCACCACCTCACACCTCCTCTCATATCTCCGCCCACTGACGTAAGTCCTACAAAAACCTCGTGAGATGCTTGGGATCGAACCCTGGACTAGCGACCACCAAAACGCGTCGCTAGTCACTCTGCTATCGTGGTCTTATGCGCTAGATGTAAAATTTTGCTTCTGAATTCCCAAAATTCGCTGGTAATGAATTTTCAGTATTATATACAAATTATATAAGTTCGATAGCACATACAAAGGCATTAATGGGTATGAAAATGTCGTTGCAGGAGAGAGAACGGTGGTAATACTATACGAAATGAGTGAGTCATAGCAAAAAATCCAGTTTTACAATGAGCTGTATCAAAAAAAAATGAAGTGACCTTTTGAATTAAATAGAGTAATTATGCCAAACTGAGGTTCGTATTTGCTCTGTATATTTTCGGTATGCGATCAAGAATAAATGATCACCATATGAAATATCCTCACTCGACGGGAGTTCAGCGCTTAATGTATAACAGATCAGGTGGCTTTTGAGGACGAATTTGTTCTAGAGCACTCGATATTTGTGATGCAACTTCCTTTGCCAGACCGGTTCTGGATCTGGAGCGAGTTTTTGTGGAGGCTAATTTTGATAGCGCCTTCAGCTACTAGCTGGTATGCACCATGAAAAAAACTGACTCAAGGCTTCAAGTAGGTTTGACTCAAGTGATTCGAGCCTGGTAAATGACTCCAATGACTCAAGCCTGCTAAATGACTAGGTTTATTCGGGAGTAATTGGTTAATTTTGTTGGGTAAGATTCGGGGTAAATGCATGATCGGTACCCTGTACAGCTGTTTATACAGATTCGGGGTAATTGGTCGTGATAAAATCGAAGAAGGTTTTATTCGGGGGTAATTGATTAATTTTTTGGGTAAGATTCGGGGTAAATGATCGGAAGGCAGTGCTCAAATTTTTGTTGTCGAAATAAAATTGTAGATAAATGACTAGGTTTTATTTGGGGGTAATTGGTTACTACTTTTGTTTCGAAATATGATTGTGGTAACCTATGATTTAAGCTGTTTATGCAAAGTGTTACCATGCGCTCACTATCTAAACTACTGACGTTGTTGTAATTTTTAATTTTAATGACGTCTTGCATGTGTAACCAAGCCTGTTAAGTCGTAATTTCATGTTTAATTTCGTCGGCGGTGTTTTCGTCCGTTTGACTCTAAGGTCGGGGGCTGTAATGGGGGTCAAGTTGATTTTTCAAAAGCCTCTCGCTTTTTTTATTCCAGTTTATCGATCGCAGTAACGTCATCCTTGACAGCGTAAAAACCGGCATCGTCAAACGGGGTGTCAAACGGGGTAATGAGGGACGGGCGGGGTAAATCGGGACAGTCATCTCACATTTCGGAGAAATGTTCTAGCAGCTAATTAAGCTAATCAAAATATTGCAAAACTAAAAATATTGGCATAAAGTTCAATATTTTTACTATCTATGTAGCATAAAGCAAATTAAGAAACATACATTTACTAACTGAAAAACCCCCGAAAAAAAGTGTGAAAAGTGAGATTTGGGGAAAGTACCTCTGCTAAGGTCTGTAGCAAAAAAATTATTCGCCGTATTAAAAATTTTACTTACATAAAAATTGCACACATGTATTGGCTTAAAAACGTGATTGACGAAATTTGCGTATCTCATTCCAAAAAATGGCGGCGATTTCCGCACGACGGTCATTTAAAGTAGAACATCAACTAGCAAAAGCTCCTGTCAACCAAAAAATCAATTAACAACCAAAAATTTCTATTATACTGTATTTACCTCAGCGAAAAAAAATTTCATATAACGAAAAATTAATGCATCATCGGTCATCACAAAATTGTGCATAGAATGTCATAGATAGAATTGTTCACCGGGCAACATAGAACGAAAAGTAATTAACTTAAACTATGATTTATTTGTTAAAAAATTATGATGGTTCTCATTAAAATATTCCTTTCTGTTTCAGGTATGTTTTTTGCGATCTTTTTTTGTTCACTTGACCTAATCAAAATGGTGTGAAAATACAAGCCGTCCTGTGCGCTTACAGATACAGAAGAAATGCTACATGGCTGCTGATATGAAGCTTGCAGTGGACAAGGTTGTTGTCAATGCTCATTGGCATGTCCATGGATACGGTAATATCACATCAATAATTACGATAATGTATGGATATGGTAATATCGTATCAATAAAGGAAAAACAAGTAAATAACACAGAAAATGTCATTTATTCTACATTGTAGATGTAGAATAAATGACATTTCCTGTGTATTCTACATCATCTACAAAGGAAGAGGAGGACTTCAGAGTACTGTTAGTAGTAGATGAGTACACTTTGCATGCTTCAAGCGTTTTAAAATTGAGTTTTATTTCAAGTGTCCCGGATTACCCCGTTCCCAGGGGTAATTCGGGACGCTTTTATTTTGCGCCTGACACCTTACGAATGGCATATGGAAATTTTTTGTAGATGCCAGTCGATAGCCCTCGCAAAGAGCTTTAAAATGAGCCTAAACGTGTTTATGAAATGTTCAACGGTAAGAAGTTATTAACGAAAAACGCTCAAAACCGTTAATTATTTCCCAGTTTGACGGTAGCAGTGTTGGTCAGTGGGATGAGTGGAGAAAGAGGGTGTGGGGAGGGGAAAGAGCGAACACACAGGTATATGGTGTGGTCCAGTCGTATGTACCAAAAATGGTAGTGACAGAAATACGAAAGATATAAGTCACTCTCCCTAGCGACACTCACTGGTGGAAGGCTGCTAATCCGAATGGGTGGGAGGCCAAAACTTTGAGCGAGCACCAATGAAGCGAAACCCGGTTGTTGCCACGAATGGCCACTATAGTCAACATTATACGCATCTGCCACGTATCAGCCCAGTCAACTAAACTATCAGGATCATTTTGCTGTTGCACCATATTTGACGCATCCTTAACTGTATTATAAACTTTTGTGTAGTCAGCATACATGGAGCACAGGCTTGACACTACTTCTGGCAGATCGTTTATAGAAGCAACGAATAAAACAGGCCCAGGAACTCTTCCTTGTGGCACGCCGCTGCGCCTTGTTGCTCCGTCTGATACTGACTGACAGGACGATAGTTACCGGGGCTACTCTTGTCACTTTTTTTGAACAGTGGTGTCACTTAAGCTTTTTTTCAATCGGCCGGTAAAGTACCTTCGCTCAAGGTTTTTGAAAGAATACTGTCAATGGGCCGGCCAGGACGGTTGCTAATTCGGTATTATTGCAGATTAACTACATCCAAAAAAAATGGTGTTTTTTTTTAATTATATGTTTTTTGGGGTGTAGATTACGAATCTGAAATCCATTTTTGGCGGTCGGCATCGGAAAACCGATTTTTTTCGCGACTTACTAACATGGGGGTTACGTAACTTACGTTTAAAAAAAACACCCTTTTTTTTGGATGTAGTTAATCTGCAATAATACCGCTAATTCTTTGAATAATCTATGGTGAAAAATATCTGATCCACATGATTCATTGGGATTCAGAGAGACCCAAGTGCTTGCGAACCTCTTCTTTGCGTAGCTCAAAACTAGTTAGCTTCGAACACACTGGGCGCTCCTCAATAGCTGGAATACTGTTCAAAATAATCAATTTGAATGAGAAATGCACAGATATATACTCACTCTGCCAAGAAATTTGTACTCGATGAGGACATGGACGATAAGCAGTATGATAGTGAGGACCTCCAAGACGACGACACTCGGTGCGTACTGCTGCAGGTGATGAACGGCGCATACTGAGCGGTTCCAGGCGGCGGACGAAACCTCCATTTCGCCTGCTGAGTCCCAGCTGGCTGCAAGTGAAACGTTTCATCTACAGTTGCGGAAATGGCTACACGACCACCCAGTTTTTTCGAAATATTTTTTTTGCATAAGTAAATACTTAATTCTGATTATACGAGGTAAAACTAAGTTTTTAAACTACGTTTAAAAACGGTTCCAACGCTGAAAATTCAATATAATTTTTTTAATATATGAGAAGGAGTGATGAAAATTAAAAAACCTAAGTGAAAAGGGTTATAAGACTAAGATATTATTTTTCTACATTTCTGTATTTTTCAGTAATATTTTCACGTTAAAAAGTACAGCAACATAAAGAATATCCTGATTTCCGCCACTTAGGGTACTTTTGGTGTATTTCTGGGTCAGTTCAGTGTCTTCATTTCTATTTTTTCGAAGTAAAAGAGATGCCAAAGGGGACAAGCCTCTCAGTGGCGAGAAGGCGCAGATTTCGGCCTTTGCAAAATGCCGTAGAAGCCAACGGGCACATCGCAAAGGAAGTAAAGCGCCCAAAAACCGATGTACAATCGTTTCTTACTAATCCGGACTAATTAACAGACAGGTGTCTTAGGCGACTGTTTTCAGAGTTATCTAAAACGGGCGCTACCTCTACTAGACTACTTCTATAAAATTGGTCATTGGAAATATGATATGACGGCTCGACGCATCCATCAGATATTGCATGACTCGAAGAAATTCAATTCCATGAAGCGGAAAAATGCCTCTATGCTTGAACAAAAGCATATTATCAGCCGACAAAAATTTGCTGAAAAAAATGTGCTTATTGGTGAGGGATGGGACAAGATTATCTTCAGTGATGAAAACCAATCAGATTCAGTTCAATCTTCAATTCAATTAAATTCAGTTCAATCTTGATGGCCCAGATGGATGGCAATGCTAGTGGCAACAACTTGATCGTGAGCCTGAATTCTTTTCCAAGCGGCTATACTAGTGGTGGGTTGGTCATGGTTTGGAGTGCGTTTAGCCGAAAGGGAAAATCAACTCTAGCTATTTTACAAGGAAGACAAGATTCCGAGGCATACAAGAAGACCCTTTTTCACCATCTTCTCACTTTTGCCGATGGGAAACATGAGGGATCATATGTTTTCCAGCAAGACAATACTTCGATTCACACCTCGAAGTCAGCAAACATGTGTTCCAAGGGCAGAATATTATCCTGTTGATGTAGCCACAGCTTAGTCCGGACCTCCACCCCTTTGAAAACCTATCGGGCATCATGACGAGGGATGTTTGCCAAAATGAGCGCCAGTTCAAATCTGTAAGTGACCTAAGCACGGCCATCCTTCGTTCCTGGGATAAAATTTCTCAAATGACTGGTTGATTTGGCAAAATTAAGGCGAAAGGAGGTAAGATTGCCTATTAAAAAGAGTTAATTGTATCCACAAACGGACAACCTATCATGATCTTATAACCCTTTCTACCTATTTTTTTCTTAATCTTGATCGTACCTTCTCATATATTTTAAAAAATATATTGTACATGTAGCGTTGGAACCGTTTTTAAACATTATTTAACCTAGTATAATCAAAAATCCTGTATTACATTTACTTCATGCAAGGAAAAAATTTGGAAAAAACTATGTGGTCGTATAAACATTTCCGCAACTGCACGTAGTATTCCATAAATGAATAATACAAGCAAAACTGAGCCGAACTTATGATAGACATTTACATCCAGATTATCATGCATAAACACGTACGAATTAAAGACAATTGCTCAATGGTATAGCCGTTTAGCGTGGTATTGCTACCGTTATAGTGAATTGCTCGACATTGAACTTGATGATGAAAATAGAGGCGTTGGCGGAGAAAAACGCTGAAATAATAATTTTACAGAAAGTGGCCTCAAAAGTGAAACTGAAGTACTACTGGAAACGAAAAGGATTGAAGTACTGGTGGATTTGAGAGGTTTGTGGGCTCGCATTATTATCCGATGTTTACAATTTTTGTATTTAAAATTAAAAGAGGGGCCCCAAGAGAAACTAGACTGATTTTTTACAACACTTCTCTTTAACTTCACTTCTTGTTTGTCTGTCTGTCTGTCTGTCTGTCTGTCTGTCTGTCTGTCTGTCTGTCTGTCTGCTACAAATCTTGTAATCAAAATTTATTAAACTTCTACTTATCCTATCGATCTGAAATTTTGCACACTTATTTAAAGTTGGAGACAATGCATGAATCAAATGTCAAAATAAATGATTTTTAGAATTTAAAAATTTTTTTTTTCAATATTAAAAAAATCGAAAAAATAATTTGTCAGCTACAAATCTTATAACTGATATTTGACACACTTTTACCTGTCTAATTGATCTGAAATTTTGCACACTTGTGTTAAATCAGAGGCAATGCATGAATTAATTAGCAGAATAAATAATTTTGAAAAAAAATTATATATTAAAAAAATTTATATATATTTATTTGCTATTGTTATTGCACTCATCAGATTCATATGCCTCTATTTTTACAAAGACTGACTTGCTCAAACGAAAATGCATCGGTACATCTCTGTATATCCTTGAGATGAGGCTGGTTTTCGCAAAGGAAGAGGGTGCATCGACCAGATGTGTGCACTGTGCAACATAATCGAACAGTGTACTGAGTGGCAGAAACAGCTATATATATTAACTTCGTGGACTTCCAGAAGGCTTTCGATGATATTCTGCAGAGAAAGCCTTTGGCGCATCTTGAGAGCGTGCGGAAAACCGGCGGAAATTGTGATGTTGATCAATAGCTTTTATGCGAACTTTACATGCTGCATTAAAAACAGCAATATATGGTACGACGTCAGGAACGAGGTGAGACAGAGCTGTGTGGTGTCCTCCTTTCTCTTCAACCTTGTCTTCGACTGGATAATATGTCGCACAACTGAGGATGATTCTATAGAGGCATGCACTGGACGCTTTTCACGAACTTGGCAGATCTAGATTTTGCCGATGACGTGGCCTTACTGACGCAAACCCTACAACACATGCAAGAATAGAAAACTCGTCTGAACATTTTTGCGCACCGAGTTGGGTTGCATATCAGCCGGATAAAGACAGTATTAATGACTTCAAATAAATGGTTGACCTTTGTTGCTGCGCTACGTGCTGACCGGCATAACGGGCAGCAAGTAAGTAAGGATATCACCGACATTTTTGAGACTGCTACTCGCACATAAATTCGATTCTTGATGAGTTTTCAATATGGCAGTGATATCAACAATCTGGGAAATCCACGTTTATAATGCAAAGCTAATAGCATGTATGTAGCCATACGTGCAGTCCCGGAGGCTAAGGTGAAACCGGACAAGTGTTGTTCCATAGTGCAGTTCAATAAAAAGAACCGTATATACTTTGTATTACAGGCAGTCTCTCGGTAAACGTACCGACATTATGTTAACTTAGTCTCGCCCACGTATCCAGAACGCAAGCGCCTCACTACGCAGAGGAACGTGGCTATAAGTCTGTACACGACTCGTGATTCGTGATTGTAATCAGACGATCGGCTGCTCATTTGTAATCGACTGCGAATTATCAGGCTGGGCATCAGTATGCGTGCTTAGAGCCCACTCTGTTGCTCTTCTAAACGCACAAAAGTTCGTATTTGAGTTGATTTAGCATTTATCAGTCCCGTGTTCCGGCACTTCTGTCCACAGACTGCATATGTTCAGGCACTTTTGTACACAGAATATCCATGTTCAGGCACTTCTATAGGTATTTTGTAGAGTTATTGTTTTTTTTTCAATTCTGCAATGATGCAAAGTTACCATAATATATGGCAGCAAACAGTGTTACCTTCATTTCATTGGCAAACAACCAAACAATTTTTCTATCATTCACAATTTCATAGGAATCAAATGTTCAGATTTTTTTTCAAACAATCGTGATTAGATATATCAATCGCAAAGCATTTTTAGACATTTCCAAATCCGCAGAAAAGTGTAATTAAATTAGTAATCGATCGCAAAGGATGATTTATGGACAAATTTTAGGATTTTGTACCATGAGTTAGAGAAGCATACATTTTAATGACTTATGGTGATGACTTCCAAAAGTTCCCAATCATTGTAATAACTCTCAAGAGTTCCCAGTCATAGTAATGACTCCCAAAAGTTCCCCGACATGGTAATGAGTCCCAATCGTTCCCAAGCATTGCAATGACTCCCAATAGCCCCATATCATCCAATTGTCTAAACCACGGTGGTTCAATTATCGAACTGACTCGTACCTTTTCCCCAGGAGCTGCAGTGGGTGTCGTTGTCAGCCATCAGCTTCACGGCTTCAGCAGCAGCCAGCACGTCGCCGGCAGGAGAGCTAATGTCCTCGTAAGCCTGCATCACCTGCAGGCGCGTCACGCCGCTGAAGGTGCGCTGCAGACGTTGCGACTCCCTGCCGTGTGCAGGTAGGAATAGCATTGCAATTATATAAATGTTGGGTAACTGCGATAAAGGAGGATTAGTAAGACGGTCTCTGCATGTTTTGGGGTTAGGCCAAAAGTTGCATTGTTCTCGTGGCTGGAAGGGAAATTGTCTGGCATTCGAAATAATATCATAATTCTCTCTTTTCCCACAATATGGCTGACATTTAGAAGTGCACAGTACTTCAATAAACATAAATTGAGTTCGAGCCTCAAAGCAAGTTTAATTACGTACCAAGTGAAGGTTAAGAGGCAGATCACGACGATGGCGGTTAGGACGTCAAGTGCCAGGTAGCCGTACAAGATCCATCGAGCGTAGCGAAACTTGTTCAGCAGCCATGAGCTGAACAAAGAAATTAATAGTTATGTAGTTTAATTTTGGTTCATTTGCTAAGTTTTATAAACCTCAGGTAATAACAGCTAGGAAACCAATAGAGAACATGTGAAATAAATTTTCGCGGTATAAACTAACACGGACAACTTAACGTCAATATTTCAGAATAACAAGTTTTTAAATTTGACTTCTCAGGTAATAGTTAAATCTGTATAGGCTCCTTAATATGGCTCCAAGAAATGGGCTTTAATAGACATGCTACCTGCTGACATGGCCTTTATTATGCAACAACACACATATCAATTAAAAACTCTAAGAGTTATATTTATACGTTTTTACTTTGAACTAACAGTATACAGAATTATAAATCTTTAATTTAATAATTAATAATTATAAATTTATAAATCACACACACAAAGCTTGTGTGTGTGATCGAACTATGATCATCGAAGCTTGACATCGTAATTTATAGGGAGATCGAAATTATTATGCTTAATAATGTAATTTTTATCAAATTTATTACTAAATGATATTTCTATTTATTCATATCTTTATAATTTTAAATAATTATATTACAAATATAATATATATTTAATTTATACTTAATGTGTCGGGTGATTACCTAGACCTTAAAACTTATTCTTAGTGAAGGAACAAAAAGGCATAGCAAACTGGGAGGAAGACATTGGATCAAAAAATTGAAATTGGATTTTTAAATTGTACATAAAAATTGAGAGATGCAAAAGTGTATTTTATTATTTTGCAATTTTGAAACGAAAGTCAAGTGAGTGTTTTATAAATGTTCTAGGTAAAACGCGGGTTCGAACGGGTTCTTTTCAATTAGCGTACATTTGCATTATTATTTACGATTCAGGATAATGGGATTCTGAAATTACAGGAATTATCGATCGTGGGCAACGCTGGACTAAGATACTTGATATGATCGAGTTTTACAAATGTAGAGAATCAATTGAACACTTTTCTGATAGAAATTTTCTCTTAAACTTGTGTATCAATAATTTCTTAATTTTCGGGAACTAGTTGTCTCACACAGATTATGGAACTGAAAATCTGCGTTCACCGAGTCACGTAATCATTAAAACTGCTCTGTTATGTTCATGGAAGTTTACAGAGTTTACAGAACTTCTACCTGCCTTCTGTGCCTGGTGGTGAGACAACACTTAATCAAAATTGAAGCAACATTTGTTGACCGAAATACCCACACTTAGAAAACTATTGTTAGAGACTAGAAGTGTCAGCTTTCTAGGTGCAGGTTGCTGCCTATTTTTTTAATTATAACATCACTTACTCCAAATAAGCCTTTCTCCTCAAGCTCATCATGCAGATAAAATGCATTGAAAAGAGATAATCACAAACCATCGTACATGGTTAGTCTATGACGCAGCACTCGGCTGCCATCTTCCTGGCGATTTCCAACAGCCTTCAGGAGAGGATGATCTCTGGACCAGCGCGTATTGCTGAATTCTTTTGCATCATTTTCCAAATTGTTCTGTTCGTTAGACGCAGCCGAGCATGACATCTGCGCCCATAACTGGCGCACCGTTCTATATATAGAACTGCCAGGACGATCTTCATTTTCCTCTTGATCAGTTACTGGATTGTCATGACTGATTTCCGTGAATGGAGACCGAACTCGATTATCTGTAAACGCAATGAAACACGAATGAAGGCCTGTATAAGAATGGCTATATAGCCACTAGTGCGTTTCAAACTATGAAGTTAATTCTTATAAAACCAAAAGAATTCAGACGTCAGTGATGCAACAAATTATTCTTTCTACGCAGCGCCTTCTCACCTTTTATCCTGTAATAGAAGCACTCAAAAGGAGTATAGTCGTGAAGTTCCCTGTTGCCGTCTAGAGAAATGTGTTTCTCCATTGCTCGGCAGGCCAAATCCGGGTGTTGTGTGATGAGCAATGCAAAGGATTCACATGGTTTTACTTCTTCAGAAACATCTTTCTGGTTGCTATTGGAGACATGCTGGTGAATATTATTACAGAATTGTGCGTTAAAAGCAACGGGGCACCACGGACTCTCAATCACTGCTTCAAGAACCGTTTTTTTGAACGAGTTATTTTCGGCATCCTGTCTCTCTCTGGCGGACTTCTTGGCCGCCTGATTCTTCAAGGCTAAATCCTTGGCTGTCTGCTTCTTCGAGGCTGAATCCTTGGCTGTCTGCTTATTCGAGGCTGAATCCTTGGCTGTCTGCTTCTTCGAGGCTGAATCCTTGGCTGTCTGCTTCTTCGAGGCTGAATCCTTGGCTGTCTGCTTCTTCGTGGCTGAATCCTTAGCTGTCTGATTCTCGCCAGTTCTTCAAAATTAAATTGCATTGGGTAAATTATAAATTCTAAGAGATTCCCACGCAAAATTAGTCTCAACCACCAAATGCAAAACAGCGTTTGGAAAAAAATTACAAACTTCTATTGTTCGTTGCTTGTGTGAATACTACTGTTTCATTCACTTATTAACTTATGTGACATTTAATGCATGAGAACTATTCCAAAAGATGATTCTATTAAATCATGTGATCGCGTTTACAGCACCATCATCAAACGAATTTATAACAATGTCTCGGCATTGCTAACTGGTCACTGCACAAATATTTAATTCACAGTAAGCTATAAGAAATACAATTCTTAGTAGAAATTCGATTATCTTCGACCAACTTAACTGGTGCTCAGGGAAGAATATTTATTATAGAATTAGATAATGGAAGTTGATTGAACTCACCAATATTCTCAGAAAAGTGCAACGCTTAAATTATACATACATGTCTGCTTTCTTCAGGCACTGCTTGAAGTATCTGTGTAGTCGGACGCACAAATCGTCGTTTTTATCGATTTCCATTTGGGAAAGCAGGTATTTGAAAAGCTCACCATGCTTGCCGTGAAATGCTTCGTCTACAGGATAATGACCTTCATGACCAGCTTTATCCTTGGTCTTGCATCTCAAATTTTCCAGATAATTTTCGTCGCCCTGCGGTCAGAAGTGGCAAAAATTGAATATTTATTTTATATGATATTCCTTAATAAGGTCAGGGCAAGAGATCAGGCAAACCTGTATTTCATCTCTAGATCTCTAGAAAATAGCCCTTCAATTTCTTCTAAAACCGATGATCCAAAACCGCAACATTTTCAAGGCGTTTGAGTTCCCATCAAGGTAGTATCATTTACTGAAGGAAATATATTTGAAACAAGAAGTGAATTTATTTCATGCTATTGAAACGTCACGATAATCTTAGTGAATGATAAATAGTTTTTAAAATATAGGAGTTATATAACCATCGTCAAAATAATTGATGAAATCAGTGCGTAACTCACCAAAGAATTTGTCAGGAGGAGCTTCGAGCATTCCAAATGGCCATTCCTGGAAGACAAATGCAGTGGGTGACGTTCCATTTCTCTAAGTTTGCTAAAATCATTTGGCTCCAGATTGCGGAGAAGCAGCCGCAAGCATTCATCGTGTCCACTCTGCGCGGCAATGTGCACTGCACTGCTGGGATTTCGTTTTGTGCATTTCAGGACATCAGGTTTGTTCTGTAGAACAGAGCAGAGAATATCCCGAACTCCGAACTTTGACGCCAAGAACAAAGGGGTTTCCCCCTTCTTGTTGGGTAAGTTTACAATCTCTTTGGCGCTTCGCAGCAACTCGTTCCGAACTATTCGTCTTCCCTCTTTTTGGGGCTCAGATGTTGGCGCATTTTTCTTTGCCAATAAGTGCAGCGGGGTGTCGCCATCTTTGTTTGCTTCCGTTCTGTTCACTTTGGTGCTTTCCATCAAAGCTTTTGCGGATGTAAAACTTCCATTACCAATGGTGATATGAAGTAAGCTATTTTTAGAGTTATCGCGAAATGCTTCCAAATGTTTCTGAAATTCTGCTTTATTAGCCATTATTTCGAAGTTCTTCAACGATTTCTTAGCGGCCTGATCAATGATTTCTTTAATGACTTTCTCATTCAGGAGATCTTCTGGAGTTTTTTCCAGCATGTATGCGAAACCCTCTGGATCGTGAGCAGCTGATGACACTAACGGTAGAAAACCTTCATTGTCTCTTATTGAACAATCTGCTCCAAGCTTCTCAACCAAATAGGAGATAACTCGTTCGATGCCCGTGGACGCCGCGTAGTGCAGGGCAGTCTTACCGTCCGAACATCTCATGTTCACGTCAGTGCCCGCAAGTTTCTTACAAATGCCCAAGTATCCCAATTCGGCAGCAAGCATCAGAGCCGTGCGTCCGTTGCTGGTGCGCATGTCCTTGAATTCGAGCGTTGAATCGCGATTTCCTGCTTGGGAATTATTCATTTTTTGCACGGCTTTTAAAAGATGTGCGACGCATTGCTCTGACTTGTGGTGCGCGGCCAAGTGAAGTGGGGTATACTTCGCTTCGGTCAACTCCATTGGGTTTCCTCCACGCTCCAATAAAATCTTCATGATATTGGGGCTTCCTTTGATCGCTGTCGCGTGAATGGTAGTGAAGGATTCCTTGTTCTTTTGGTTTATGACCTCAGGCGTCAGGTAATCCTGAACCATAGAGCACAGCTTTGTTTGATCATGTTTTACCATGTAATGCAGTGGCGTATTTCCATGTGCATCAGTTTCAGCAAGCAAAGCATGGTTTTTCTCAATGATTAATTTCGAGGATTCGTCAAGTGCGTTTTCTACAGCCACGTGGAGGACAGTTTTGTCTTTGTCGTTCCGAGTAAACAGTGTTTCCTCCGTTGCGTGAGGTAGCAGAAGTTTCAGCAGTTCAAATGACCATTTGCCTTCCTTCAGCACCGCCTTGTGCAGCAACAGCTGCTCTCTGATCTCAATGTCATGATGGTCGCCAGCATTCAGGATTTGCTGCAGCGACTGTGCATCGTTCCTCTCGATGGCCTGTGCCAAACTTCGCACGATTGGCGATTGCGTCCTTAAAAACAGAACAGATGTAAATATTTATGTGCAAAGTGTGACAAATCATTACTTTATTAATTATTAAGTATTTTCTCGACCTTTATTCATGAGTCAACTCAGAAACACAGTTCACAATTCTAACAAATTTACTTGGCTCAATTAATTTCTCGGTGAGTAAAGTGAGTTTCATGCACCTGAATGCAAGATTACAGAACCAGTCGGGTAGGTAGGACTAGGAAATGGTAGTTGGGAGAGTGGTGCCAGAATTAGCCACGATGATGACATAACCGGTCGAAATTTTTCCTGTTAACCCTTATGCGAGCAAAAAAATATGCAGAAATTCGAATTTCTGGAGCCATAACGAGAAATTATGGAGAATTATAAGTTAAATTTAGTCGTACGAATTTTTCTAAATTTTGCATGATATTGGAGTAAATCGCTGATGAAAATTCCATTAATAGAGGTCACTATCGCTAAAAGAAATTAAATTTTTTTTCTTTTATTGATTAAAATGCAAAGAGAAAATATCTAGCTGCAATGTGATTCTGTTTTCTTGAGCTACTTTAAATTAAATAAATTTATATTGCTTCTCCCATCTTTTGCGGAAAGATCATCAATTTCAAACTTTCATTTAAAAGCTCATATTTTAATTCCTGGGCATGGCAGGGGGTGAAGGAGATCTAAGGGGGTGAAGGAGGGGGTGAAGGAGATGTATGGGCAGATGATTGGTGATTGGCAGAGGAGTGATAACATAGCCTCACACACAAATCAGGGGACTAGCTGGGCTTCTTTGGAAATAGTTAACTGTCAATGTAAAAAATTGCTGTGCAGTGTGAGAATTTCGTCTTTCAAATTATAACGAATTGTAAAAATTAAAATTCCAAAATTCGCTCCCGAACCGCGACTCCGGCTTTTCATTGTATCTTGTAGTCACGCCGTGTACACGACTATACGGTGTTTTCGGCTCTGTCGCTCGGCTGCGCAGTAGATCTCCAGACCCCATACTATGACGATGCATCGACTTGCTTCACACGCGTAGCCTTCAGCTAGTATTCGCAGCACAGCAGTTTTGTGCCTTGGCCCATTGCACTTAAGAGTGAGGTGGAGCGGTCGCTGAACGCCGCATCGAGCCCACACGGCCTCACGCGGTTAAAATTTCTCAGGCAGGCTCTCACTCTTTATGCTTAAATACTATAAAAGACTTTTCTCCCTTATATGGAATGCGAAGCGTCGATATGAGTCTTAATGCAGTTGCAATTTGCATTTGAGGTGCCGTCTCATTAAGAGGGTGACCCTTAGGGCAACATTGATTTATGAAACGATTCAACGCTTAATTATAATTTACAATATTTTGAAGGCCAACCGCGGTTGAAAATAAATGTCTGCGATAATAAATCTTATAAACCACATTTGTGTGCAACTTTTTTCATATCAACGGCACGATATTTTAAACAATAGAACCTCATAAACCTAACCTCTGCTGTGCCATGACGCTCCCTAGGCCAGCGTTCCCAAATTTCCGACCAATCATTTTTATTGTTGACATAATTTCCAAATAAAGTGAGATTAACTTAATAATTTAAAAGAAGTGTGTACTGAACTATCATATATACATCATAACATATCCCTCTACTGAACATCTATAAGCTTTTACTTTTAGAATTTGTCAGCTGACACTGAACAAAGACTCCTCAAGAATTTATTAGATTTCACGAATTTATTAGATTTCACATCTTTCAGAACAACCTGATTCAAATATCATATTGAAGAACTCCTCAGATTATTCTTTAGTATTTTCCGATATTAATAACCTCCTCAGGTTATGTTCTGAGGAGGTTCTCTCCTATATCCGCATGTTCTTCAAGAAGTTTATCTAATGGGTTTAGTGTTAGGAAACACAGCTATTTTGGAGTAACGTCTGCGACACTATCCGCAGTGTCCAGTGCCCAGCCTTCGTGGTGGTTCCGGAGTAAAGGCGCAGTAGATAATACAAGAATATAGGCTCGACACAATTCACCTCACGGGCCTTTCATCGAGTAGACATCTCATCTCGGGCTTTCAACGGGCAGACATGCCAATTTATGGGCCTCTCAACGGACAGACATGTCACCTCACGGGCCTTTCAACGGGTAGGCATGCCACCTCTCGAGCGGACATGTCTCCTCACGAGCGGACATGTCTCCTCATGGGCGGACATGTCATCTCACGGGCATATAAAATGAAAATATTGCACCTCACAGTTTCATAAATTTCCTGACATTTTACCTCACGAGCTTCTACATGAAGTGACATATCACTTTAGGAGAATCAAAATGTCCAGACATGACACTTCCATGATATTGGCTACATATCTCACCACAAGTTTGAATTCAAATCATAAACTGCAAATTTTGCTATCTCATCAGCACTCACGAGACGGCGGGCGCGTAGAAGTCGTCGGCGCCGCTGGCGTGAGGCGCCGCTGGCTCTACAATCTTGATGATGGTCTGGTGAGGCCGCTGCTCTGCTCTCTTGATGGCCTCGCGAGACATCAAGTTTTCCATTTCGAATGTCTCGCCAGACATTTCTCTGCGGCGGCTCATCGCATCAAGCCAAATGCTATGATTTTTTAACCTCTGAAATTGAGTGACTTATAACGTGATTCTGAGAATGTATACGAGTCATTCCATTATCTCTAACAGCTATCAGCGTCAAAATCAGCTAAACTTCAATACTATCGTTATCTTATCGGGAGCTCTGAGTAAACGACATTAAATTTTTCCCACTTCGTTAAGCGAAAGTTTAATACACGATTGCCGTTTTAGCTAGTTTCAGTCGTCAAAATTACTAATATTTAGCCAAAAGCAACTCTACTTCATTTTCGATTCGCACCTATCATCAATGGTCGTACGTGCAAGTGGAAGACTAATGTGGAAAAATAATGTAGATTTTCTACCAGAAATAACTAATCCCAATAATTAGTTTCTTAACACCTCTCGAGTGTAAAATTTGGTGTACCCTCATAGGTTGACGATGCATTGAGACAGCACGACAAATTGGACGGCCCCAGTGCAAATCTCAATAGGCATAGGCTAAGTTCGGCACGGCCGAATTGTTGGCAATCTTGAATGCGTCCAAATGCGGCATTCAAAGCAAAATTCCAGCGATTTAGTTTTAATGCTCAAAGCGGCTACTTAACAGCTAGAAATTATTGTAACTTAGCACATGTATTTCATTGAACAGCATTGAAGATTCTGGAGACCTTGATCCAAAACAGACTATATACATAGACGAATTCACTTCACTAGCTTAGACGAAAGAGTGTTTAATAGTTAAATACAACGCCACAGTTAAAATTTTGAATGGTGTAAATGTCGAGATTACAAATTAAATTTTTTCAAGGCAGCTCCGCGACAGCAGCCGAAAAAGATGTTGAAAATATTTGTTCCGGAACTGGTGAAGTTCCTTTTGCATCCGGTAACGATGCAAGCTAGGACCGCGGGCTCTAGCTCCTACTCTCTCTACCTGTCCTCTGATAAAATTGGATGTTAGGATGTCCAAAAAAAATTTTTAACGAAAACTTAAGGTCTCGCCCCTCAAAAAGTTTCCGTTTGACAGATTATGATGATTAGCCAAAATTGAAGCCTATCAGATGATACTTTGGGGTGCCACATGAGCAGTTGAGCACCAAAGTTTCAGTCTTTGCCCTATAAAACGTGTCAAAATGAATAAATAGCTAACTTTGAGAACTGGTAGGTCAATCATTTCTCTTCCTGAGAAGCTACGATTATCAATTTTTTCTAATTTGTAGTGTACTTAATACATGCATAAGACATTAATGATTGCCTAACTTTTATTTTAATAGGTATGATGGCCCAAACTTATCACAAAAATAGTTGTGGAGATTGCCACGCTTCAGGGAATGTGCAATGTTCCCACTCCCAGCCATTTTTGCTCACTCTAAATTACTATATATATAGTTAGCAGTGTTGTTGTTGTTAGAGATTCTGCAACTGCAGAATCTACTAAGCTGGTTAAGTTTCAAACAGTCAAACTAAATCATTTGTTTACTGGGATGGCAAACTTCTGCTGAGCCGATGTCAGGCAGTGATGCAGTTGGCAGGTTGCCAGCATAGTTATCATCCTTGCTGATGGCAGTGTCAAGCTTCTTCAAATTACAAAGTTGGATTTTTTACAGTTAATGCAACAGTAAAAGATGTTCATGATCAACTAGTCATGGTAATGTAAATCTATAGCGGTAAAAATGTGTTTCGACGCTATAGCTGTCAATACCAGCAAGTTCAGGGGTGCAAGTCCCCTGCTTGGTAAATAAATTATGCTAATGCCTGCTTTGGTCGCCATGCAGACATCGCCTGATGTAGTTTCTGATGTCTGATGCTTTTACATTTTGCTTTACCACATTGTCAATTCATGACATTCTCATTTTCAAACGTTTTAGGGATAAGTGGAGTCGGCTGACAAATTAACAGCCATTTCCCTGAAGTGATTACTACAAGATCAACGCAGCACAATTAAAGCCGCTTCAGTTGTCTGCAATGCAAACTATATCATACGATGTCTGCATGGCGACCAAAGCAGGCATTAGCATAATTTATTTACCAAGCAGGGGACTTGCACCCCTGAACTTGCTGGTATTGACAGCTATGGTGTAGAAACACATTTTTACCACTATAGATTTACATTACCATGACTGTAGTTGATCATGAACATCTTTTGCTGTTGCATTAACTGTAAAAAAAATCCAACTTTGTAATTTGAAAAAAGCTTGATGCTGCCATCAGCTACGGAGGATAACTATGCTGGCAACCGCCAACTGCATCACTGCCTGAAAGATCGGCAGAAGTTTGTCATCACAGTAAACAAATGATTTAGTAGTTTGACAGTTCACTGCCTTGATAGATTCTGCAGTTGCAGAATATGTAGCAATAACACTGCTAACTAATACGTAAGTTAGAGTGAGCAAAAATGGCTAGGGAAATCGTACCTTCCCTGGAGCTTGACAATCTCCTCAACTGTTTTCGTTCTAAGTTTGGACCACCATATCTGTTAAAATGAAAGTTAGGCAAGCAGTATTATTTTATTCATGTAGTAAATACACCTCATATAAGCAAAAAATTTATAGTCGCAGTTTCTCTGGTTTAGATATGATTGACTTACCAGGTCTCAATGTTAGCTATTAATTCATTCCGACGCGTTTCATCTGGCAAATACTAAAATTTTGGTGCTCGTCATGAAGCACTCCTAAATATCATCTGATTGAGCTAATTATTGGCAAATGATCATAATTAGTCAGTTAGAAACTTTCTGTGGCTGAGATCTTAAACTTTAGAATAAAATTATTGTGGAACACCCTATTGGAGGTGTTAGCAGGACGAGACCTACATTAGACGCGCAAAGTTACCTCTGGGTCACCAATGTCATCCACACCGTGTAAGCGAACCTTCTTCCAAAAATAAATTACATTTTCAAGTTGGTTTGACACTAATGGTAAACGAAATTATTTTTGTATATGAGTGAACGAATTCATCATGAGTGAACGAGTTCATCATGAGTGAACGAGTTCATCACGAGTGAACGAGTTCATCATGAGTGAACGAGTTCATCACGAGTGAACGAGTTCATCATTTGAACGTTCATCAGAGAAAAGAACCTTTCTATCCGACTTGTGGGCAACTTGTGAGCTGACTCATATTGATACACGATATAAATGGCTTCCCGTATCTCAGTGTAATAATGATTGATATAGCGGTTAGACATGCATAATCTCTTTGGCGATAATGCCAAAGTGTGAAAAGATATTGAAATACATCCCTGCGTTCAGAGCCGTTGTTTAAACAAACCAATGTTTCCGGTTGTTTACAATGCTATTCTTGCCATAAGAGCAAACGAACCCAGCACGTCCTAATCTAGCATGTTCATTGTTTCAGTCATAAAATATTTATGTCTGAAAAGTGACAGAATTAATCGCGGATTGTGAACGTCAAGTGAGGAATTTATCGTTCCACAGCGTCAATTTCAATACTAAGCGCAAGGTCACTTTCATTGGATGCGCTCTACTGATTTCGTCTGAAGGAAAATTATGTTAATCCGAAGGTTCTAAGGCACGTATAAAAAGTTCCAATTACAATTCCTGTTAGTAAAGTCAGGAATAATACAAACAATTACTCATGTAGAGCTCCAAAATTATAAGAGTTGACGGTAAAAAGTGAGATTGACCCACGACACTCCATCAGCGCCGCCGAACCACATGGCTTACAGGAAAACATGATCTACACAGTCGCAAACCGCTCCCTTCCAGCCGCCTTCGGCCCTCAGACTGTGTCGTCGCAACAGCTATTTTCGAAACCAGCCTAGACACACTTCAAAATTTAGATCTACAACGACCGTTCCCAACTACCAGTGGTGTTCACTTCAGTTCCAATTGAGATATGGCACTCACTGCATGGGGCGTGCATGAGGGTACGAAGAGGCGAACTGCGTGTCGATGCATGCAGCCGAATCAGAGGCTGACAAAGTGGACCTCCATCTTGTCACGCGCATTCACTAGTCATGAATGTTGATACTGCCTACACCTCTGCCAGTATATGTCACGCTTTCTTCAGTTATGAATGTCGAGCAAAACAAATATTGGAACTTGACTGTCCCGTGAGTCATACAAAGCAACAGCATCGGTGCGCTATCATACAGGATCAGGCTCTCTTATCTTGAGGAAAGATTAAGATAGGAAAATTTGAACTTCGTTATCTACTTGTTTTCATTTAGAGTAATGATGAATCGCTTGTATGATGTTTATTGATTGTATGATGACGCACGTTACCATGATGTTGTGGTGCAATCCTACAATATCATAGTTTCAAGCGGAAACCGGAAAGCCATATAAGATAGGAATTCGCTTCATAGGACATTTAATTGCTCAGAAACTTGACCCGTTTCTTCCTAAAGTTATAGAGGGATGCGTGGAAACTCGTTTGCAACGCATTCAAGCCTTCTACCGCAGGTCCGGGCTCCACTGTTGATAGCTTTCAAGTTCAATGCCAACGCAGCGCTGTTGCAGTGACGGTCTTATATTTATAGAATTACTGAAACCTGCTGCTGTGCTCCAAAATTGCTCGATATGAGAAGCAAGCCATAAATATTATCAAATTTAATTTTTCAGAATTTGTGGGGTAAAGTGTGAAGTAACAGATGCATAATTAAAGTTTTATGTAGCTAACTGAGATTATGCACGAAAAGGAGGAGGATTCGAGTACATATATCTTAAAATAACATAACATAACATAACATAACATAGTGATGTCGGCTCTGAAGTGTAGGCCTGATGTGGCCTGTCGCCGATTCTTTTCTTTTTCGTGCCTTGTTCATAGATCTAAACTCGTGTCATTTGACCGGATCTTTTCATGACTGGCGATAGTTTGAAGAAGCTACTAGACTTCCACCGGGTTCGATTAGTGAACGAGTTCATCATGAGTGAACGAGTTCATCATAAGTGAACGAGTTCATCATGAGTGAACGAGTTCATCATGAGTGAACGTTCATCAGAGAAAAGAACCTTTCTATCCGACTTGTGGGCAACTTGTGAGCTGACTCATATTGATACACGATATA